CTCACTTTCTGTCTCTATGTCTCTCTCTGTCTGTCTGGTGAGCGCACGCACCCTATAGTGAAAATCTCTCCCCCCCCCAAAAAAAAAAGAATTATTTTTAAACTTCTATTTATTCACTTTTTTTTTTTTTGGAGAGATTTTTGCTATAGGTGCACACACGCCTGGCGTGGGTTTTAAGCCACCGGTCCGGGACGCAAACCGTGGTCGACTACATGGAGTCCAGTGACATAGCCATTATGCTAACTGCTGGTTCCCTAAAAAATAATTCTTAAAAAAAATTACTCTAATACATAAACTGATGTTGTCTTCCATACCAATTATTCATCTGTTCCTCTTTTTTTTTATCAAGATACAATTCACAGACCATGAAGCACAGCATTTGAAGCATTCACTTCAGTTACATACAGTACCTTCACAAGGTTGCACAACCATCACTAATTCCAGTTTGTTTGATTTGTTATTTCAAAAAATTGAAAAAATGAAATAAAGTTTCATTCAATAAATATCACTTAATCCTTATGCAGTATTACTGCAGAAGGGAAGTCCATGTTAAGAATGATGATGGCAAGTTCTCAACCAAATAACCAGTTTTAGACAGTTTCGATAACTGCAGTGATTTCCCTGCACTGTCTGTAGAAATTCTGAAACTGTGGGATTGTCATTTCAAAGCACTTGTTCTTTACTTGGCCTGAATGATCTGCCACTTTTAGCGTCACTACCACCTATGGATACTTAAGAGATCTGCAACTGTCAGGACTCACAGCCATGCCCCATTTCTACTGAAAATCTATGAGTTCATTGGTTACTTTGGGTCTGGCATCCAGTGGGGGCTGGCCAAACCCCTCCATGGCCAGCATCGGGAGCTTATCCTACTGACACGGAGACCACCCCCACCCCGGCCCTAGAAATTACTTTAAAAAAAATAATTTATAAGAATATTTACCGGCATTAAGTCTAAATAGGACTCCAATTTTTTCTTCAAAGGTATAGTCTGTCGTTTTAGCTCTGCTAGTTTCTATTTTTTTTTTTTTGGAGAGATTTTTGCTATAGGTGCACACACGCCTGGCGTGGGTTTTAAGCCACCGGTCCGGGACGCAAACCGTGGTCGACTACATGGAGTCCAGTGACATAGCCATTATGCTAACTGCTGGTTCCCTAAAAAATAATTCTTAAAAAAAATTACTCTAATACATAAACTGATGTTGTCTTCCATACCAATTATTCATCTGTTCCTCTTTTTTTTTATCAAGATACAATTCACAGACCATGAAGCACAGCATTTGAAGCATTCACTTCAGTTACATACAGTACCTTCACAAGGTTGCACAACCATCACTAATTCCAGTTTGTTTGATTTGTTATTTCAAAAAATTGAAAAAATGAAATAAAGTTTCATTCAATAAATATCACTTAATCCTTATGCAGTATTACTGCAGAAGGGAAGTCCATGTTAAGAATGATGATGGCAAGTTCTCAACCAAATAACCAGTTTTAGACAGTTTCGATAACTGCAGTGATTTCCCTGCACTGTCTGTAGAAATTCTGAAACTGTGGGATTGTCATTTCAAAGCACTTGTTCTTTACTTGGCCTGAATGATCTGCCACTTTTAGCGTCACTACCACCTATGGATACTTAAGAGATCTGCAACTGTCAGGACTCACAGCCATGCCCCATTTCTACTGAAAATCTATGAGTTCATTGGTTACTTTGGGTCTGGCATCCAGTGGGGGCTGGCCAAACCCCTCCATGGCCAGCATCGGGAGCTTATCCTACTGACACGGAGACCACCCCCACCCCGGCCCTAGAAATTACTTTAAAAAAAATAATTTATAAGAATATTTACCGGCATTAAGTCTAAATAGGACTCCAATTTTTTCTTCAAAGGTATAGTCTGTCGTTTTAGCTCTGCTAGTTTCTAGGGGGCAAAAGAACAGTTATAGAATAGCAGTGCAACCAAATACTCCCCATTTCTGAAATAAAATACAATAAGGCATTAACGCCAGGCTATTTTTTTTTTTTTTTGAGAGGTTTTTCACTATAGGGCACGTGCGCTCGCCGGACAGAGAGAGAGAGACAGAGAGACAGAAAGCGAGAAATCACACCCCAGAGGGGAGATGGCCACACCGCAATCCCTTCTCCTCCATTCTCCTCTTGGGATCTTGGGTACGCACGCACACGCACCCGGCATGGGTTCTAAGCCACGGAGTCCGGGATGCAAATTGCGGTCGACTACGTGGGAGTCCAGCGACAGCCATTACGCTAACTGCTGGTTCCCAACACCAGGCTATTTAAATAATATAACAAATAAAGAGCTTCAAAAATAAATGGATAAATAAACTCACTTTCAAAGGAAACAATAGTTACAAGATGCTTAAAACAAGAAAGTTATAATCCTATTTATAAAAAATAGGATTGAGATGTACTGCCTAGATGTGATTAAGAGATATTAGAACGTTAGGCACGTGGTGGTTAGGGCCCTGGACTCCCACATGGCTGACCACAGTTTGAGTTCCGGACCTGGAGGTTTACTTTTTCCCTCTTCCTCTCCCACTCCCTCCCTCCCTCCCTCCCTCCCTCTCTCTCTCTCTGGTCAAAATAAAGAATAATAATAATAAATAAAATTAAATACATATTTTTAAAAAAGATGCCAGAATGTAAAGACAACACTAGAGTCTAAACATACACATACATATATATGAATTCTCAACTTCAGGTTCCACAAATCAAAGTACAAAAAATCTTATGGATAATAAAGTAAAATAGAAGCTGCTCTCTTTCTCTCTTCCCACCAAATCAGCCCAAGAATTGAGCACTCTTCCCTGTATAACCCAAAACCCAGCACTGCATTTGGAAACTAATAGAGTTTGGGGAGACCAGCATATAGCATAATGGTTATGTCGCTGTACTCCCACTTAGTTGACCACGGTTTAAGTCCTGGCCCAGGAGCTTAAAACTCATGCCAGGAACATGTATCCAAAATCCCAAGAGGAGAATGGAGGAGAAGGGACTGCGGTGTGACCATCTATCCTGGGGAGTAATTTTTTGCTTTCTGTCTCTCTGGTGAGTGCACATGCCCTATAGCAAAAATCTCTCTTAAAGACGAACACCTAATCTTTCAAGAAATTTAATAAATAAATCAATAATTTATCTAAGTTTTTGGGGCTGGCAGGTGACGTTGGTGGTTAAGGGTGCTGGACTCCCATACAGCTGACTGTGGTTCGAGTCCTGGACCTGGCATCTTTCTTTCTCACTTTTTTTCTCTCTGTCCTTCTCTGGTCAAATTAAAATAAATAAACGAAAGTTAAAAATAATTCTGAAATAATAATAATAATATATCAAAGACTCTAGAGCATAGTAATAAATAGAGAAAACCAAACAAACATGAAGATATATACAGCTAAACAAGAAACAAAGATACAAACACTGCTGAACATAAAGTGCAAAAGTAAAGGAAAAGAAATCATGTCAACAGTGAAAAAGAGAAACAAATGAAACAGCAGATCATGGACTAATATTTTTAAAGAAAGTTAAATTAGGTTAGAATAACTTCACCTCTGACAGAGCTACTAGTGACTGATGAGACAGAGAAGCATCCATGCCTCTAGATGAAAGTTGCTCCTACAATTACAAAAAAAAAGGGGGGTTCAGTTTAAAATTAATTTGAAAGTAACCATCATGAAGTATTTTCGGCAGTTAACGCAGTATAAAGAAGCTATAAGATGAATAATGGCACGTGTACGTAAGCACGTATGTTACATGTGAATCCTTTTCCCACTTATGACAAGATGGGTGCAGTGCCTGGGGGCCTGGGCTTCAGAGCCTGAATCCCTGGGTTTGAATATCGATCAGGGGCTAAGTAGTTACATAACTTTAAGCAAGTTACCTATCTTCTCTGTAGTTCCCTCATCTGTAAAAACAGAAATAATACTGTCTAGTTGTGAAGATAAAGGTTGAAAAGAAGTCTGGAGAGAGCTAACTATATTTAGTCCTTCACACAAACCTCTGCAGTTCTGATTCCAAATCTGAACTCCTCTGACTTTGCTTTGAGGAAGTCCATGTTCTGAAGACGATTGTCGACTTTGGCCCTTTCTGTAGACAGATGCAGCTCTGCTTTCTTGAGATCTCTTTAAAAAGTAAAATTAAAAATATTTTCCTCTTCTCCTCAGTGACACTATTATAAAATACAAACGCCATAAAAAGAAAAAAGAGAAAGAAAAAAATAGAAACTCTACTACTCCTTGGATTCTACTCTGGAGCAGCAAAAGGCAGTTAAGCTACTGGCTGGATTCTCTATCATAAATTCTGTATTCCAGACTAGCTACCATGCAAGTGGAATTCTGGTCACCTTCCCCTCCATGCGGTAATCTGGGGAAGTACAAAATAATTCCATGAATAACCTATGCCAATTATTCTTGGAGAAAGTAAATATGACACTCAAAAAAGTGATTTAATATATCTTAAAGCCAATTTGAAATAAAAGGTCCCAAGGGTCTCTGCACTAAATGTGACATGACACTGAATCTTGCACACACACACATTCAATATTTGTTGAATAAATTTACATAGCATCAAATTTCTTGTGCAAAAATATATTCCTGATCCATAGACCCAAACCTCTGGGGCAAGAAGGACCCAAACGTGGCCCATCACATCAAAAGAGATACTGAGTTACCTTACAAAAGCATCACAAAATATAATGACGTTAAATTATGTAGTAGCTAATGAGTAAGTTTTTACCTACAGCCTGAAAATGATAAAACCTACATTATTATTGTTATTCTTTTTTTGGAGACATTTTTGCTATAGGGTGCGTGAGCTCACCAGACAGACAGACAGAGAGACAGAAAGCAAGAAATCACTCCCCAGGGGGAATGGCCACGCCACAATCCCTTCTCCTCCATTCTCCTCTCGGGATCTTGGGCATGCACACACACACGCCCGGTGTGAGTTTAAGCCACCGAGTCCAGGACTCGAACCACGGTCAACTACGTGGAAGTCCAGCGACATAGCCATTACGCTAACTGCTGGTCCCCCATTATTGTTATTTTTTTAAAAAAAGGTTAAAAATTATGTGAAGCAGAGACAGTAGTGGTTAAGCATCACATGCAAGGAGTCAGATCCCACATGGCCAACCACAGTTTGGGTCCTGGCCTCGGCAGCCTGAAAAACATGCTGGGTACCTGTGAATGTGTGCCCTAAATCCTATCAGGATGGACAAATGGAGGAAAAGGATTGTAGCATGACCATAACCCACTGGGAGATGCACGCTCTCTCTCTCACTCTCTTGTGCATGTATGCCCTCTGGTGATAAAGGAAAAGAAAAAAAACTGTATGAAGCATGATAAAAGCATGTACCAGGCCACCCTCGCCTTTACACCAGTTATTTTTCTTTTTTTTTTAATTTTTATAATTTTCTTTTTTTTAAAGAACTATTTTATTTAACTTTATTTATTATTATATCATTATTATTTTTCAGTTTGATCAGAGAGAGACAGAGAGAGAGAGGAAGTGAGAAAGCAAGCCACCAGGTTCGAGACTTGAACCGTGGTCGGCCATGTGGGAGTCCAGCGCCTTTAACCACCACGTCACTTGTCAGCCCCTACACCAGTTATTTTTCTACTTAAAAAAATTTCTAGACCCCATTTCCTGCAGTGTTTCCTTAAAATCCTGTCTGCTGCCAAAACTAAATCTGACAATATCCTATTACTGCCATCATAAAAATGGTAATCACTTTTAACTCGGTTACTTACTCTCGTAGACATTTTTCTAATACCAGAGTTGCAGTTAGGTTTTTGTCAAGTTTTTCCAGTTCTAACTTGATTTCTTCATTTTTGGATTTGGTATGGAAAAGATCAGAAGTCAAATCATTCACTGCAGGGATAAAGCTAAAAAAGAAGAATTTGGTCATATAAACTGACATTAAGGACAATAATTATAATTAATCTTCATTTCTAGAAGTGATTTTACCTCTCTGTGAATTCTTCTGTAATCATGTTGTTATTCATCGCTTTATACATTTTTTTTACATGCTGTTGCTTTTGTCTGGAATGTCTTTCTTCAGATGGCAAAGTTGCATTTGTTCCTCCAAACTCAGATTTACCCGTCCTGGAATTCACTCTTTTCTCTGTGCTACCTAGCCAGAGCGCATCATTCTCGTACTGTTGCAGCTGTCACCCTACGTTAGTTTCTCATGTCCATCTCCCTTACTTGACAATGAGCAGACCTATAAGCAGTTAGTATTGATTTGTATCTGCTTCCTTGGTGCTTATATGACAGGTTTTCAAAGTTCATGAAAATACTATGTATGAGGGCCAGCAGATGGCATAGCAGTTACGTCACTGGACTCCCACCATAGCCAACCGTGATTGGAGTCCCAGACCCAGCAACTTGAAAATCATGCCAGGCCCATGTGCATTTGTACTATGGGACCAAGGTTGGCTATGTCACTGGACTCCCATGTAGTTGGCTGCAGTTCGAGTCCCAGACCCGGTGGCTTAAACTAATGCCGGACGTGTGTGCGTCTGTGCCCAAGATTCCAAGAGGAGAATGGAGAAGGGATTGTGGCATAGCCATCCCTCCTGGGGGGGGGTAATTTCTCGCTTTCTTTCTCTCTGGCGTGCACGCGCACCCTATAGCAAAAACCTCTCCAAAAAAAAAAAAAAATACTACGAATGGATTTTTTTTAATTATTTATTTAATCTTATTTATTGTTATTATTTTTAAATTTGTGCTCACCAGAGAGAAATAGAGGGAAAGTGAGAAAGTAGTTCAACAGGTCTGGGACTCAAACCATAGCTAGCCACGTGGGAGTCCATCATCTTAACCACCACACCACCTGCTGGCCCTAACTATGTATGGATTTTATAAAATTTTTATATCAAGATAAACTTGTACTTTAATTACATCTTTCCACAACCTTGTTGAAGCTCCCTTATATACCTAGCCTACAACTGGCGTTTGGCTGCAGATTGACTTAATTTAAATCTAGAGTTCTCATCCCATAGCCTATGCATTCTCACATCTGAAACACTGTTCTGAGCATACATATAAATTCCAAGCCCTTATATTGACAAATGAGCAGAATAGCTGTGCTGTTCTTGGACTGTAAGTTGTAACGGTGGTCTTAGCTGAGATATGGCATCCGTGAACCGTGTATGGACTTGTCTCAGACTGGGTTAGAACCCCAACTCTGCTATTCACTAATTCAGAGAAACTATTTAGCCCACCTCTTGAGCCTCAATTTCTTTTTAGGGTTGTTGGAAGAATCATGTCACTATGTAGTGGAGATGTCTGTCACAAAGAATAAAGGTCTTTAACTAACTCTACTCAATGTGGAAGGGATGACCAAAATTTTCTATGTTCAATCAGAACATTTAGCCAACTGCTTTTCATACTGTTTACAGGGAATGATGTAAGTGATATCTAATCCTTTTTTTTTAAAGTATTATTTATATGTTTAATTCCATTTGTTATCATTATTATTTAAATTTGATGAGAGAGAGGGAAGAGGAAAGCGAGAAAGCAAGACGCCAGATCTAGGACTTGAACCATGGTCAACCGCGGGAATCCAGCACCTTTAATCACCACGCCACCTGCTGGCCCCAATACCTAATCCTTTTACAAGTATAAAATAGAATCAATTTTCATAAACCTAATTCTGTAAGAAAATATAAAAAGTTAACTAATACTAGAAAAAATATTTGAAGTTTTTACTAAAGGGCAAGTGTGCTAGTCACAGAGAGTTATCCTCTCAGGATTTTCAGCATACAAGCACACATGCCAGGCGTGATTTTCAAGCTGCCAGGTCTGGGACTTAAATCACAGGTGGCTGTGTGGAGTCCAGCACCTTAACTACCACACCACCTGCTGACTTGTTTACTCACCAATACTAAATTTATCTGAATTAATTTTACTCACTACCAAAAATAAAGTTAAACTTCAATGATTTTATATTTCCTGTTTATTTCTATACAGAATTATCCTGAAAACCAAAAATACCTTAGGTCAAGACTCAGCAGCATATATGAATGCAGAAATTAAAACTATCATAAGAATTACCTAGTGAGTGAGGTATCCTTTGTTTCAAAGGCCACTGCACTGTCAACCAAAGCATTCAGATACCTGGAACCAGTGCTAGACAGATTGGCAGGGGAAAAATTCACACTTTCCATGAGAAGGTCTTGAAGATGCTTGGCTGAAAAAGATAAATGAGTTCTGTGGTGATTAAAATGTTTTCTTTGTGGGCCAGCAAAAACAAAACCAAACCACAAGGCATCTTCTGTATCAGGCTAGTATGTCTAGATACTTATGTTTCAGGGTTTACTATTTTGCTATCAGAGTATTAGCAAATTATTTACTATAATGAAACTTACAACTTAGAAAGTCATTACTGCTGTGGTATGGTAGTTAAAGCACTGGACTCCCACATGGCCAACCATGGCTTTAGTCTTGGGCCTGGTGGCTTGGTCTCTCTCTCTCTCTCTGGTGAGTGCCCATGCCCTTTAGCAAACTGAAAGTAATATTAGTAACACAATTAAATAAATAATTATTCCTTGAAAAAAAAAAAAAGAAAGAAAATCACTACCACAACAGAGTAGAAAACATATCTGGGCAAAACAAAGGACCAAAACAAAGAGTCTATAAAAAATTAACATTGCATGCTGTGGTGTTTTATAATGCAGTTATCTTTATTTATTCTCTCATTCAAAACTCTCGATTTAACCTCACCTTCTGACTCATACTCGCTTGCTTTCTGTTTCAAGTCCTCTATTACCAGGCAGACGTCCCTGTCCCGCTCCCTGTTGCGTTCTGAAAGGTGATGTAAAATCTCTGTGGTCCGCGGGTTCACCTCATACTGTGGAATGGGTTGATCTCCAAATATTTTTTTCAACCACGCAGCAACCTAACCATGCAAAAAAAGACAAGTATTATCAGCTTTGTAACTGTAACTGCCATGACACAAATGTAACAAAGAAGCGATTAAAAGCAAACTAAATGCTCTGACTATTCCAGCGTCCTACTCTACATCCTAAATTGTCTTTGGGGAGATACTAAATGTCAGGAAGTAAACTCACTGAGCAAGCACAAAGAACAACGATACAAGGGAACAATCCATTCTTTCCCAAAACTACAAAAGCTGAAAAAAAGGGTTGTCCCCAACACATCGTAAGCCAGCAGCTAATGGCGAGGGTTGGTGGGAAGGTGGGTTTGGGGACGTCCCACTCGAGGGCTTTGGCTACAGCGGGTCCCCAACACTTCTCCAAGCTCGGTTCAGGTCAGGGAAGCCAGGAAAGGAGGTAAAGCCCTCTCCAGGAGGGTCTTAGCAGAGGGGCCTCGCTTCACCGTGAAGGAGGCATTGAAGATGGACAGGCGCAGCCAGGGGAGAGAAAAAGTAGACGTGACGCACGCAGGAGTCAAAGTAGGGGTTTCCAGGAGGTCGCAGAACCCGGGTCCCCACTGCACCTGCGCTTCTTTCTCCTGCGGCGCGTCCATAGCCCCGACTCCCGCCACACCGGCAGGAACTTCCCGCAGAGAAGCCTTTGCGCCTCCTGAGGCCCCGCCCATACGCCGTTGGCCCCGCCCCAGCCTGCGCCCGGGGGCTTCTGGGAGTTGTGGTTCTCCCAGACTCCAGGCCGCGGAGCCCTTCCAGGCTCCCAAGCCTGGCCCAACGTTCCGGCCCTGCAAGCCGCTCTTTTACCACGCCACCTCCCTGCGCTTTCCTCCTTCTGGGTGTAATCTCCAGGGTGAGGAGGAGAGCTACTTACAACTAGGCTGCTTTTTCTTTTAACATTTCTGTTTAGGGACCAATAGATGGCATAATGGTTACATCGCTGGAGTCCTGTGTGGTCAATGTGATTGCAGTCCAGGAGTGGCTTGAAACTCATGCCGGGTGCATGTGTGTGGGTGCCCCAAATCCTGAGAGGAAAATGGAGGAGAAGGGATTTCAGCGTGGCCAACCCCCCTGAGGGGGTGATTTCTCACTTTCTTTCTGTCTCTGTCCCTCCAGCAAGCGTAGCTTTCTATAGCACAAATCTCTTAAAAAAAAAAAAAAAATCACAGTTAAATCACTTGTCTTTAAAAAGTACCTGAAGGGGCCAGCAGGTAATGTGGTAGTTGAGGTGCCGGACTCCCACATGGTCAACCATGGTTTAAGTCCCTTAACTCGGTGACTTGAAAATCTTTTTTGGAGAGGTTTTGCTATAGGGCGCGTGCGCTCTCCAGACAGACAGACAGAGACAGAGAGATAGAAAGCGAGAAATCACCCCCCACGGGGGATGGCCACACCACAATCCCTTCTCCTCCATTCTCCTCTCGGGATCTTGGGCACGCACGCACACACGCCTGGCGTGAGTTTAAGCCACCAGGTCCAGGACGTGAACCACAGTCAACTACGTGGGAGTCCAGCAACATAGCCATTACGCTAACTGCTAGTCCAGGTGGCTTGAAAATCTTGCTGGCTGCGTGTGCATGGTTGCCCAAAATCCAGGAGGTTAACATAGGAAAGGGGATTGTGGAATGGGAATGGCTATCCCCCTGGGGGTGATTTCTCACTTTCCCTCTCTCTCTCTCTCTCTGGCAAGTGTATCTCCCCTCTATGACAAAAAGAGAAAAAAATTACCTGAAACTTTTGGTTCTTGTTTAGCAGATGTTTGTGCTTCTTCTACATTGCTCACATAAGCTTAACATTTTATTTGCAATATGAGCTGCAGAAATCTTCACTTTATCTATTTGTTCCCAGTATCAAGGTACAAAATGTGTAGATTTTTTTCAGGTCCATTTTTTTTCTTGAGAGAGAAACGGACAAGAGAGACAACACCTTGCCAAGTTACAAGCCTCCCTTCCACTCTAGTGTCTTTGTTCAGCTAAGATCTTGGGTACTCCCTCCTCTATGTTCCTGTGGACCTGTGATCAAAATCCTTGTCCTCCACATGGATTCCAGCACTGTAGACAGAGTTGCATGATGGAAGCCACCAAGGCCAGGCCAACATAATATCTGAAAACAGTTAATAGCATCTATGTGGACTTCAAAAAGTTCATGGAAAATGGAATTAAAAAGCAAGTTTATTTTGGTGTAAAAAGATTCAAAACCCATACATAATTTATTTTTGAATTGTCAGTGAGCACATGCACTTGTGAGAGAGAGAGAAAGAGAGAGAGAGAGAGAGAAAACATTCCTCAATGGGGCATGGTCATGCCACAGTCCTTTCTCCATTTCTTCATCCTGTCATAATTTTGGCCACACATGCACGCACACACACATACACACACACACACACACACACACACACACACACACAAAGAGCATGTTTTTCAGCCTGTGGGCCTGGGATTCAAATAATGGTCAACCATGTGGGATCTAGCTCTCTTTAAGTACTAGGCTATGGGGCCAACCCAGTTTTTACATAATATTCATTTCCCATAAAATTTTTTTCTTCATTAAAAAAAAATTAAAGAATTATTTACATATTCATTGTTTTTTAAAAAAAATTTTACCAGAGAGAGTGTTCGCTTTGGCAGTACGTGTACTAAAATTGGAATGATACAGAGAAAATTAGCATGGTCCCTGTGCAAGGATGACATGCAAATTCATAAAGCGTTCTATATTTAAAAAAAAATTACCAGAGAGGGAGGGAGAAAGTGAGAAAGCAAGCCACCAGGTCCGGGACTCAAACCACGGTGGGCCATGTGGGAGTCCAGCACCCTTAACCACCATACCACCTGCTGGCCCCTCATTTTTAGAAATTTTAACAGCACCCTACAGTGAATCATGATCATGCTGCAATCTTCCTTCCTCTATTTCTTTCTCCTGTCAGGACCTTTGGCATGCATGCACCTGTGTCCTAGGTATTCTTCAAGCTGTCAGCCCAGGACTTGAACCATGGTCAACCATATGGGATCCAGCTCCCAAGAAACAGTGATTAACAGCTGCACTTTGGTGCCAGCCCCTCCCGGGAACTCTTTGAAGACTCCTGGAATCTGGTGGAACTGTCACTGCTCCTAAGCCATTCTTGCATTACTTCTTGCCTTCCCTAAAGTCCTCTCTTCCCTCTATCACTTTGTATTTAGCACTCTGAGAGGTTCTTCATATTTGTACAGCAATGTTTACCATATACTTTTCTATGTTTTTAACTTTCTTTCTTCTTTCTTTTAGGTTTTGGCCATTGCGTGTATGCGCTCTCAGAAGAAAGATAGGGAGAGGGAAAGTGAGAAATCACTCCCCAAGGAGATGGCCCCACTGTAATCCTTCTCTTCCATTCTCCTCCTGAGATTTGGGGCACACACGCACCTGTTCCCAGCATGATTTTTAAACTGCCAAGTCTTGCACCCAAATCACTGTTGCTCATGTGGGAGTCTGGCCCCACCACATACCACCATGCCACCTGCTGGCCCCTACTTTTCTGTTTTTATATTCTTGTTTCATTCATTCTTTTAAAAAATAATTATTTATTTAATTTTATTTATTAATTATTATTATTATTACTTAATTTGACCAGAGAGAGACGGAGAAAGAGAGAGAGGGAAAGTGAGAAAGCAAGCCGCCAGGGCTGGGACTTGAACCACAGTTGACTATGTGGGAGTCCAGTACCCCAACTGTCATGCCACCTGCTAGTCCTTCTTGTTTTTTTCTTACAGGGACCTTACAAAATAGGTGGTCATGCCATATTTTTAACTATTTTTACACTAACACACACACATACATGGATTAAATGACTTGACCAAGATTACATAATAGAGCTAGAATGCTACCAGTCAGTGTTCTGGCTCCATTAGGATGTTTCAGTCTCTATACTGCTACTGGAAGACTTTAGTGTACTGAATTAATAGGAAAAGTAGATTAAAAAAAATACCATGTATTCAACTGTTTGTAATATGTTGTTAATATCAAATTATGGATCAGGCTTAGTACTAAATATCTTTCTCCCAGGTCGTAGCATGCTTAAAATGATCCACTCCATTTTTTCAAAGCAATCTTAATAGCTAGATAATTTTTTAAAAAATTCAATTTTATTTACTTATTTATTTAATTTAATATGCCCAGCGAGGGGGTAGAGAGAGAGAGAAAGTGAGAAAGCAAGTCACCAGGTCCAGGACTCAAACCATGGTCTGCCATGTGGGAGTCTA